GTGTGTGTGTGTGTTTAGTCCTCATTCAACAAGGACTAAAAGTGAATGTGTTTAGTCCTTTAATCCGCATTCAGGAAGGACTAAAAGAAAAAAAGAAAGAAAGAAATGGACTGTTGTATGCTTTAATGCTTGCATAGAGGCATTCTTCTTTAATGTATTAAAAAAATTACCCATAAGTGGGTGGATGAGTTGACAAAGGATTCTTTCAGTTTAACCAAAAGTCTTGGTTTCAAGTCATGAGAATGCAGCTCCGTTAAAACTTGTGAGGGAGAGCTTTGCTGCCCGTTGGGTCTTGTCTGATTCGAACCTAGACTAGTTAGTGGTCTAGTGAACTCCTGATTTCCTGGTGATCCATATACAAAAAAAAAAATGTATTAAAAAAATTTGTGTGTGTTTAGTTCTCATTCAACAAGGACTAAAAGAAAGAAAGAAAAAACGAAATGGACTGTTGTACACTTTAATGCTGGCGGTAGAGGCATTCTTTTTTAATGTATTAAAAAATATATTTACTTTTTTATGGAATATGATTAGTAGTTCCCCACTATATATAAAAATAGTTAAAAGTGGAGTTAATTAAATAAATAGATTTTCAATGTGTTTTGTACCTGTAAATACAAGGCTCTTCATTTGAAGAAATTAAAAGCACAAAGGTGAATTTAGGAAAGATGAAGATAGAAGGGACATCATGGAATTTCTATAAGACTCAAAGAAGGTAATTAAATTCTATCTTAGAAGATAATTCTTCATAAATTTTTTAATGGAAATTAACCAAACTGACTTAAGCATTAAGATGCATTTTCCATGGAAATTTTCCATCATTTTCTCATCAATCAAATAGGACCAAATGAAAACAAGTAAAATGGCAAGCAAACCCTAGAAGTAGGGGAAAAGATTAAAACAAAGCTCACATGAAAAAAATTGAGCTAGTCTTTGAGATTTTTGAGAGCGATCCTTCTTGCATTGAGACTCTTCACCTCCATTCTAACAAAGTCATTGTCATCGGTCCCGAAGTCCTTAACAAACACAAAATTGGCCTGGTTTCCTACACCTGTGACAACCCCATGATCCAATATCATGAAAAAGGAACGTGCAAAATGTAAAAATTTTTTAAAAAAAAAAAATGAAGAAGAAAAATAAGATGAATGGAACAATTCTTATTTCTAAATATGATAGATGGGCCTTAATAAAAAAAAAACCTTAAAAATTCGCTAGATGAATATAAATTGATAATATATTTCTTGATTCTGATTCATGAGAATATTTTATAATGGTTTGTAAATCCTAAATATCTCCATAAAGCCTTTATGTAGGTGGTAATCTTTGACTATTCCTCACTTATATACTACCTTCCTCCCTCTCATTTCATTAGAAAAAATAAATATATGATTTTGCCCCACTCAGAATCTCAAATACTTCAACTGATTTTCAGTACCTTTTTATTATCTTCAAGCTTCTACTTTTCTACATGTACCAAATACACTATATTCAACAGTTTTCAAATAAAATTTCTAACATCTTGTTAATTCCTCAACTGTCTCATTCTATTTCTCCACCTTTTCCCTTCTCCCTCTATTGCAATTCTATCTATTAATTTGTATAATTTCCACTACAGTCGGGAAAGTTGAGGGACTAAGTCTGTCCTAATATCTGTTCCATCCTAAGTGCTGCCTTTTATTTTCTTTTCTCAGACATATATTTAAGGATGTGAGTGAGATCATGTCCGTTTTTTCCAAAGGCAGTACGCTGTTTGATGATTGGAAGTGAAAGTGTACCTTGGACTGGCAGTTTTGAAAGTTAGACGATCCTTCAATGGGCTTTTATTATTTCTGCTACAGAAGAGATGCTTCTTGCTTGATCCAGGCCTTTATTGTTCACCACTTCACACCTGAAATAAAAAAGGAACTTACAGTAGAAAATATAAAGTTTTAGTAGAAAAATACATTCTATCAAGCAGAAAAAACACTGGAATGTGTAAGAAGCTTGATTCAAGATTAAAGTAAAGACATTTTCGTACAAAAATGAGACTGATATTGAGACTCACATTCCCTTCTATGCCTACATACAAAATAGCATGAGACCTACACAGGAACCATGAATGCTAGTAAGTTAAATTTGTAACCAACATAGATACTGACCTTCAAATCGTTAACCAAAGAGCCAGGAGATCTTAGAGGGGAACATGCCTGCAACACACACATTAGCATTCAAATCTTTCAAACGACCAAGACTAAGCATACATATGGTAACAGGATCAAAGTCAATTGAGAATCCTTTGAATCATTATCAAGAGACAAACTCCAATAGACTTGCAGAGAATGTGTAGCACAGGTTGCTGCCAAACAGGGTAGCATTTTACCTGATTGACAGCAGATGGTTCTTTGGTAATCTTGAGCAGGTCTGATGGCTTCTTAATTGAGAAGTTGCTGACCCCAATACTTGACCCGATGCATATAAGCCCTCCATTGCTGCCCAAGTCTGGCCAGTGTATCTATAATTTGTAATGAAAAAGAAACCAAAATTGTTCCTCTTCTAAACTTCTTTTTAGTTGGAATAACATCCAAATTGAGAAGGTCCCTGCAGTTACCAGCCGCATACCATGAAAAGCTTTCAAGCATTGGTGATAATATGGTGAGGAATGTTTTTTGGTGAAAGAATACGAAAAAATAATGAAAATATTAAGGGCTGCAAGGATTGAGGGGTCTGGGTCACCATTGGAAGCACCTTTAATAGGTATTGTGCGTGTGTATATGTATATATTTAAGAGCAGCATATTGAAACTCTAAAGACACTGATAAATATATTTAGACAAATATTCTTGGTTATTCTAATTTATATTTTCTGATTAACTGACTAGTAAGTTAATACAAATACTAAACTATAGTAAGATTCAGAGGTTTAACAGCTCAGTGTGTCATCCTTTTTTTAAAATATTGTTTATTTAAAATCTAAGACTATTGCATGAATAAGAGGCTTCGGATATACTTCATAAAGATATAATTATACATGGTATGAGCTTTAGCCAAATTCTTTGCTTCCTCATCAACATCTCTGCAAAAGAAAGTTACTGATGCGTCACCATGGTAACCCTCAACAAAAAAAATACTAAACAAATAAAAAATTTACTTAAGAAACTATTCCACTGCCCCAGTTTAGAAATAAAAGATTTACTTTTATAAACACTTATAAAAGCCTTAAGACATTTATAAGATAATCTATAAAGAAACCAAGTAGATTGGAAGCAATAGAATTGCCTTGCCTTTACCGGCAATTGTATAAACATCATTTTCCTTCAAGTTTAACCACCTATTCCATCTTCTTGATAAGAGGCTTCTGCCTCTTCTTAATTGGTAGGAAGCTTCTAGGCCTAAGCATTTTTACCATTGCCTCTCTAAGCTTCTTCAATATGACATGTTGTCTGAGCTTGTTGAACATGACATGTTTCAACAGCTAAGCTGCCCTTTTAAATTGTCTAAAAGCAAGAAAGATGATTGGTAAAATTGGTTTATAATTGTCTATTCTCTTTAGAATTTAATAATCCAAATTCTCAACACTTTAACGAAGGCAATTCAAGCTCATATCACTAAGAAAAGATCAAAAAATTAAAAATTAAATTAGGTTTTAGTCTCTATATACAAAAAATAAAAACAAAACTTAGTAGCAACATTTAACTCATCTTAGATTTGCTACCAAGGTCATGAAAAGAGGTGGTTATGCTACTTGAACAAATGTGCAATCTCACAGGTTTTAAATTAAAGCCAAAATAGATTTTTTTTTTTATTTCAATAAAAAGAACTGACAAATTAAATGCAAATACATTACTATAATGCACCAAAACAGATTCCCTTGCAAGAAATTGCACATGAAAAGCAAGATATTTAAACTTTTAATAGTTCAAAAAAAGAGAAAGTTCTTCATATGGGCCTTGGGTTTTCATTGTTCTTTCAATTGTTCTTTCTATGAAAATATATGAAAACAACATCAAATAAGATTATGAAGAGAAATCATATTTGGAATTGAATCTATTAAATCCCAAATCTAATTACTTGCCACCGAGTGCTTACCACCAAGTTCATGTTGTCTTCGGTATCCCTTGATTTCTTGCTTGGTAAATTTGACTAACTCCTCGTACCTAGCTCACTGCACACACAGGAATAATTCATTTAGAAGAGAATTAAATTGACAAACTAAATTAAATTCTTGTTAGATGAGAAACATAAATTATGTAAAAAATCCTTATCATGGGATTTAAACATAATCTTAAACCACCTACTAATTCCCAGTATGTATTCACAGTAATTAAACCATTACAACCCACACGGCCCATATGTGGAACAGTTGGTGCGCATGAGAAAGGCGCCACCTTCATTCCTCTGAATGAGAACACCCTCGGCTGGAACATCAATGATCCAAATGGAGATGGATGCTTGCTTCAGAACCCACTCCTCCGAAAGAAGGAGATTGCCGACGCCAGTGGGATTCTTCGATTTGGACTTTATAGCAGAAGAATAGTAAAGGCATCCCTTGTGTAAATTTCCCCTTCTCCATCCTTTTGGTTTGGTATGATACTTTAATTAGAGTCACAGACCACGGAGTCAAGCGCAAAATCTTCATTGCCAGTGGCGGAATCTGCGTTACGTAAATCAAAAAAGAAGATGAAAACAACTGAGAACCAACCCAGCAAATTGTGAGCGGAAATAGCAACCCTTTACCGGTTATTTTCAGAAAGCAAACCCAGAAATCATGGGCACAAACCTAAGCAGGAAATCATTCGCGAAAGCAGCCCTCGGTGGGGTAGCTTCTTGCGGCTTTTCATAGCATAAGAACGCAGGGCAATACCATCAAAACGTCTTCGATACTTGCCGTTTTGGGCCAGCTAAGCCCATTAAGACTACCTTGGAAGCGCTATTAATGATAAGGATTGATAATGATGATGATGATGATGATTGCTACCAATCCCAAACCGGGAAACCTGTTTCTTCAGAACTAGTTGTCAGTGCGCGCTCGCAGTGATGGGGGTAACTGAATCAACTACTTTAACCGTCAAATCCCAAACATAGCGATCGATTATGATCAGAATAGGAACTTGGGAAGGATCTTGCTCTTGCTGTCCATGAAAATTGGAACTCCTGTTGAAAATTAGGGTTTTAAGTTGGGGTCAAGGTGTAAATTTCCGACCGTTGGGCATGGGATCTGCGGGAGGAAAGGGAGGAAAGGTGCAAACAAGGTTTCAACTTTGTATTTTTTTTACTTAAAAATTGTTAATTTTATTAATTTTTAAATAAAAATATCAATTTTTAATTTTTTTTAAATAAAAATATTAATTTTTAAATAAAAATTACAACTTTTAACATTTTTTTTATTTAAGTACGTTAGTTTTTAATTTTTTTTATTAATTAAATAGTGATACTAACGACATATTTTTTGGGTTAAATATATGAATTGGTCATTCAATTTTTATTTTTGAAACAATTCATTTTTAAACTTCAATTCAATTTTCAATTAATAAAATACACGGACAGCAAAAACTAATTCAATTCAGTTTTCAATTAATAACATACATGGACAGCAAAAACTAAAACCCATTGTTCTCTGGAACCCTGCGATATCTCCTACACAGAGTTCCAAAACCCCTCCCACCCATCTTTCTCACTGCCTCTGTTGGCATCATCCTCATCGCTATCGCTCGTCTACTGCATCTTCCTCATCAGGTGAGGTACCCATCTTGAAATCTTTCTTCTCCCTGAAACCCCATACCCCGTTGATTTCAAGACTTCATGAGATTCTAGTGCTTTTTCTTGAATGGAATTATGCTTGCTTACTCCCACCACTTTTTTCGTTGATACAGGCTTCTTTTACGTACTGCATCTTCCATTTCAGGTGAGAAGCACAATTTTTACACTTACATATCACATTACGCCAAACCCTTCCATAAAGTTCAAGAATTCATGAGATTATCTTAGGTTTCAGTTTATTTTTTTCTTGTAATTCAACAGTTTTTTTTTTTTGTTTATCCTCTAAACGTGCGTTTCTTGTTGAATGTTAAGTTCTTTTGAATATGTCTCCTAAGCAGCTACATTTGGTTTGAGTGTTTCTATATGTCTCTTTTTGGGATTTTAGAGATTCTTTGAAAGTAGCTCCGGTAGCCGTTTATGATTTTTGGCCTGTGTTTTCTCCATGAAGCTACAACTTTTTAATTGATAGCTCTGATATACGTAGTTCTAATGCATTAAAAAGGGTTATTGATTTAATTATATTTTGAATTGTAATATATTGAAGATTTAATTTTGAAATGACGTCCCTCATATTGACTCCTCTGTTTAAGTAATGTCTTTGAATTAAATTGTTTTAGCAATCTTGTTCTTCTCTGATTTTAGATATTCTTTGAAAGTAGCTCTATGACTGTTTCTTTTGTGTTTGATTCACTGTACTGTTATGATTGATGATTTGCAGATTCCTAAGAATGGATGGGACCGGTTTCACATTCAACGGTAACTCATCAATAACATTCCGTCAGGGAATTCATTTGTTAACAAGGCTGTACCAGACTGTATCTGAACCAGCAGCTCACATACATGGCTCCCCGCTGGGCCTTATTATTGAATTAACATCAGAAGGAAACCGAGTTGCTGCACTTGTGAACGTGGCAGACGATGTTGATCTTCAGACCTGCGTCACTGGAAGTGGCAAGTTTGAGCTGAGAAATGTTAAACTTTTGGAGCTTAATAACAAGTTGCAGGATCTTGATATACTGGAGCGTTTAATATTAGTTCCCAGACCAGACCACGATTTGGGTAGGGTATCTTCTAACCAAAGTCAAAGTCTTTGAAACATTCTGTCCGCCATTCTATCTTTGTTTTTGTTGTGTTATTTTTGTTTTTGGTATTGCTTTATGACTTTTTTCTCTGTCTGTGTGCATCTACTCACCAGAACCTACTCTTGAACTTGATGTTAATGCTGAAGTGGCCAGCTTGACCATCTGGCAGAAAGGAGAAGAGCTTGTCCGGCCTAGAACCTTGAGCTTTGACCAGAGCCTCCTTTCTGGTGGTGTGAATGATAAAATTTCTAAAGCCATTCTGAGCGGTTTAGGTGGGAACTTGTTTTTGTATATTTTTTGTTCAATTTTCTCTTTTCTTATTAATTATTAATTGTGTTTGATTCATTTTAACAGGAAAAGAATACAGGATAGAGT